TAGTACTACATTGTGGCTCAGCTAACTAGGTACTGTTGTCATAATAGTACTACATTGTGGCTCAGCTAACTAGGTATGGTGGTTATAATAGTTCTACAGTGTGGCTTAGCTAACTAAGTATGGTGGTTATAACAGTACTACAGTGTGGCTCAGCTAACTAGGTTCTGTTGTTATAAACCACAATGTAGTACTGTTATAACCACCATACCTAGTTAGCTGAGCCACAATGTAGTACTATTATAACAACCGTATCTAGTTAGCTGAGCCATAATGTAGTACTAATCAGCTAACTAGGTACTGTTGTCATAATAGTACTACATTGTGGCTCAGCTAACTAGGTATGGTGGTTATAACAGTACTACATTGTGGCTCAGCTAACTAGGTATGGTGGTTATAACAGTACTACATTGTGGCTCAGCTAACTAGGTATCGTGGTTATAACTGTACTACAGTGTGGCTCAGCTAACTAGGTACGGTTGTTATAATAGTACTTCAGTGTGGCTTAGCTAACTAGGTTCTGTTGTTATAATAGTACTACATTGTGGCTCAGCTAACTAGGTACGGTTGTTATAATAGTACTACATTGTGGCTCAGCTAACTAGGTACTGTTGTTATAATAGTACTACATTGTGGCTCAGCTAACTAGGTACTGTTGTTATAATAGTACTTCAGTGTGGCTTAGCTCACTAGGTTCTGTTGTTATAATAGTACTTCAGTGTGGCTTAGCTAACTAGGTTCTGTTGTTATAATAGTACTACATTGTGGCTCAGCTAACAAGGTACGGTTGTTATAATAGTACTACATTGTGGCTCAGCTAACTAGGTACGGTTGTTATAATAGTACTACATTGTGGCTCAGCTAACTAGGTATGGTGGTTATAACAGTACTACATTGTGGCTCAGCTAACTAGGTACGGTGGTTATAACTGTACTACAGTGTGGCTCAGCTAACTAGGTACTGTTGTTATAATAGTACCACGATTTTGGATGAGTTTTTATGAGGCATTCTCCGCTGAAAAAAAAAATCTGAAATGTGAGAACCCGAAAATTGGAACTTTCTTCTGTTAACTTTTTAAACTAAACACAAACGTAAGTGATGATATTGGAACTTTAAGACAGCAATTCGCCTGACTAAGACCTTCCATCTTTCCCGCCAGTCTAAGACACTAGAAAAGTGTTCACCATGGTTATCATAAGGTTACTTATCATCCACGTCCAAATGCACAGAGTTAAAAATAAAAGTAGTGAACGTTTGTTTCCTCAGAACCGATGCAATTCTTGTAGAACCATGGTTATCATAAGATTACTTACCATCTACAACCAAATTTACAGAGTGACGATGGCCCATAGGCGAGATACAAGTAAACTGACCAGAGTCGTCTTTCTGCGCATTATAGATGGACAGTCGATACTCCAGATGAGAGTCTCTTCCTGGTTCGTTTGTCCAGCCTGTATATTCGCCACAAACAACACTGCTTAGAAAACATCAACACTTTATTTTCTATTTTCTTCAGTCACAGATTTTCTTGTTACTTTTTAGTGTCAAGATACTTTCCACAATGAATGATCCATAATTTTTTTTTTACCTAATTAATTCAAACTAATTTTCATATAAATATTTCATTAAATGTTATTTTATTGCTTTGATTTTTGATCAACGCTTTTAATGTTTACAATAACATATCGACTTTTAATGATCTTTTTTTCCCATAGCTGTTTTTTACCCTTTTCATCTCTCTAAATTAAGTCTACCTCTAAAATAATTTCGTCAGCAAAACGACATTTATGAACAATACAAGACGCATATTTGTTGTGGCTTAATGTCCAGGGTGCCAAACTGTGAATCCAAGGTTCCATTATTCGTGCACAGTTGCCGTAAAATCGCGCTCTGCAATTTGAGAAGACCGCGTTTTTTGTCCAGCTTGGTGGAAAATACGCGGCCTAGCTGACTAATGAATGAATAGTTGCTGTAAAATTCTCATCAATGCTATAAGTGTAGTTACCAGTTTGGCCACCAATTTTGATTTCATTCTCTTAAGTCGCACACTCAATACTTTTTTTTGGCGTACCTTTTTTCACATCTAAGGTGTTTTTGATTAGATATCATGACTTTTTGTCAATACACACCAACAAAACCCAACAAGTAAGAAAGTGATACACGATAGTAACCAACATTAGCTTTAGGATCGCAACCCTATCATTTGGAGCAGACCTTTACTTTACAGAACCAACCAAATTCTTTAGAATAAATGGTGGTAGTTTTTCGTCTCTAAAACAGTGTTAACAGCTTCTTTTATAGTGACGCCATGGAATTTAGGTTAACAGTTTCTTGTCATCACCCGCATGCACTCGGTACAGCCGTATCAAGCATCATTACTTACGCTTATATCATGTGACGCTAAACGCTCTTTAATTAGGATAATTTTCATAAAATTCAGCAAATTTGTGCTAAAACGTCAGCAATGAATAATGAATAACAACCGTTCATTCGTATGATTCTTTTGAAAATTTGAGCTAGAAACTGTTAATCTAGTTTACTTGGCCTAACCAACACTTATGTATCTGCACGTGTTTTCACCCTATAGTTTTGCTGTTCTAAATCAGCTGTCTTTAATCGGAATAATAAAAAACTAAAAACGGTCCGCTTTTACTCTTAGATGAACTGTAGGAAAACGCTTAGGCCTATAACTTACGTGACTTTTTTGCGTAGGCGTGGGCAAAAATTTTCATCAAAACTGAGCGGTTTTTTTGAATAACGTTGCATATGTGGCTTATATTTAGAGATAATTTTACACCTAATTGTAGGTTGTAAAGATCTGTCAGTGTACGAAATTCATGAAATTTAAGTACGTTTTCCTATCAAATAAAGTTTCCGTACTATCGGTAAGAAGAAAAAATAGGAAGAAATTCAATCAAAACAGGATATTTTATATCTCGGGTTATTCTTAACGGATTACCTTGAATTTGGTATGTGACGTACGAGTCCAGTAGAGCACATCCACTGAAAACATGCGGTAATTTTGGATTACCACAGTCTGAGCTACAGAAAGTAGAAAATCGCGAAACTATCACTCCTGTTAATAACACACAATATGTCCTGTAGCAGGTTGTTTTGGTCGCACAACACAATACTGTGTCTTTTGATCATGCTGGCAATAAACACGTTTTATTCAAAAAGGGAATTCTAAAAGGTCGATCTAGTTTCAACTCGTACCCGTTCTCTGTCAATCACACACTAATTCACTACATAGTGTTAACAGTATTCTTGTGTTATAGTTATGCAACAACATATTTTAAACACGGAGCATGTCCTAAATAGTTATTAAAATGTAAAATAAAGAATATAGTTGAATAAATATTTTATTTACTAGGTACTCAAGCTACTTTTGATATACTACGCAGAATCCGTTTCAAATGCACGAAGTTTGAGAACACGTGATTAAAACTTTAAAAATACAGTTGCAATCGCATTACCTTCTGGATACTTTCGGTATGAGTGATTAACTTCCCATTTCGGCGCACCATACTTCCGGATCCACAAACATTCAAGATGAAGGACTGTTCCAGGATAGACAAGTAACTTACCGTCGTTACTCTGAGCTATAGGTCCTAAATGGTGGCGGAATAATATGGTTGGAGGGTCTTCCACTGAAAATGTATACGACTTTTGTTGGAATAAAAACGTAGAAGATCATAGGTTTTAAAAGATAAAGCGGGAATCCTTTTAGGGGAAGCAATTTCATAAACTGATCATTTATTATCGAAGAAAAGTCTGTGAATGTGCTACGAAAGATTTTCTTAAACTTTTACATTTAATCTTTGTTAAGCAGTAAGTGGGAAATCTTCTACCATTGAAGCAAATAATTTAGAGTAACTTTTAAAACAATTAATGCTGCAATTTTACATTTGAGTCGACCGCTTCGTAGCTATCAACTATTATGATCAGATGTTGAAAGGAATGAAATATTTGTCTGTGTTACAGAATACTACATATGTAAGATAGAGTTGATAACTCTTATGGTCAGATGATGAAAGGAATGAAATATTTGTCTGTGTTACAGAATACTACATATGTAAGATGGAGTTGATAACTCTTATGGTCAGATGATGAAAGGAAAGAAATATTACATTTGTAAGCTACAATTAATTAATTTTTCCTTCATAACAATGGGCAGGTTTTAACAAAGCAGGAACGAGAGATTTTTTTCATTTACACTAAAACAGATAATTAATTTTTGTTTTGAAAATGTTCTTACGTTATAAGACACCTCTTAAGATAATTTCTTTCAGTCACTAAAAGTAACTTATATAAATAACGGATTCAAGGTTGCATTTTGAAAACTGAAGTCAGTAGGTGCGAAGTAATTACAAGTCATCAGTTATAAATGGGCGCCCTCTATTGGCAGTTGCGTTATAAATCTGGGAGAATTTTCAAGTTTGTATAGCTAGACTATTCGTGGTGTATCCTGACACTTCACTTATTATTCTTACACCTACTTGGTACTTACTAACCATTATTTAAATTTTTAAAGTTAAAGTTTTAAATAAAACAAAACAACGTATAACATACTTCCTCTTACAGTCTAGTGATCGTAAATGTCGTTTTTTAAAAGATAACTTACCAGTATGATAAAAGAAAACACATATTTTTCAATATTAGGTTTACACCGCATACCTGTTGAAATTGTTTGAAGCATATTTACAAAGGTTCGAGTTTTGCAAAACAATTGTAAATTTCAGATTTACAAATGCTGTTGGTATTCATTAATGTACATCAGAATTTTAATATTTTTATTTCATCAAATCAGTTAATTCTTTTTTATCAGAGAGATCACTTACGTGCATAATTATTTTCCTGGGACAAACCGTAACACGAGGGTTTAACTCCGGTCCACTCTCCCATCACACAAAATCTTCGCACGCTGCCAATCAAACTAAATTTTCCTATATCTTGGCACCGGAACACCAATTCAGAATGTGGCAAAAACTGCATCACCCCCTTCTTGAGTTGTTTGTCACCATGGAAAGCTACCAGATGTGGGTCGCTGTTTCGAAAGGTGCAGTTACGGTTTTTTCGATTATGAATAAAACTTTTACGCTCTTCTGTTAAAAAAAAAAGTAAACGAAAAATGCAAAAGCTATACTTTTATTTGAGATAATTTTTTTTCAAATAATTTTAACTATCATTTGGTTTTAAAATGGGGACACTTAAACAATATAACGAAATAAAATAAACAAATAAATAAACCTTATTATCAACTAAGAAAACATTTATGGCCGACAAAAATATGATTATCATTAGAAACATTTTCTAGAAATAATCAAACAAATATAAAATGATAACAACAGTACTTGGTCAGATTTTTTTGTGTGTTTCATAATTACGAATCAAATGAAATTTATCGGTTTATTGAATACACATTTACCAAACGATTTTATTATTATATCTTCGATATACTGCTTGAGTTATTCAGACTAAAAGGTATGTCTTAAACACATAGTTTCTGACCATTTGTAATACAGCTTTGCAAACCTGCTTCGTTAATGGTACAGTGCTGTATACTTGCTTACATTTGAATTATATTCACAACGTAGGTTAGACACTGATAAACAATCTAGTCTTAATACATGTAATATAACTGCTTTTATTATTTTTCATTTATTTATAATTCTAATTATTAAATCAATATAAGGTACATTTTAATTGTTATCTTAGCATATGAATTTAAAAAAAACCAAAATCTCATAAGTTGGCCGATGCTTGTGAGATATTATTGGGATTATGGCCGAAAATGTCGATAACAGTAAGTGTATCCAAATGACGAATTAATGTTGTGTAAAAACTGCTTAACTTCTAAATCACTTACTTTAAAACCACAATGCTGTTTAAAACTCAGAAACTGTCCCCGTTTTTAAAAAGTAACGGTATTTTAAGGAATTCGCAAGTGTTAAGTGTGAGATCATATATACAGTGTAGTAACGCTAAAGAGAAACTTTTGTCTTTGTTGATACAGTGTGTTGAAATGTAACACTTCACGAAACCACACTCATCTAAAATTGGGTGAATCGTCCTAACAAGGTTAGTTATTTTACTCTTATTGCTGTCGCTCAGTGGCAAGCTTGTGGGATTATAACGCTAAAAATCATAATTCGATATCCGTGGTGGGCACAGCATAGATAGCCCATTCTGTAGCTTTGGGCTGAAATACAAACGAACGAAGTAGTGCTGCACATGAATTGAAAATAAAACTGGCGATAAACCAAAGAAAAAGAACATTAACTGAAATTTGAAACAATAATCAGGCAATCAGTTGTGTTTTAGCGCAAAGCTACTACTTGATGGGCTATCTGTGCTCTGACTATCGTAGTGTATCTAACTCCGGATTTTAGCATTGTAGGTTCATAACTCTACCCCAGAGAAACTGGGTGATTTACATATCCGGAAATTTATTTCAAGAACACCTATATGATTTGATTTCAAACGCCTGACACATTTAGTTTAATTGTTTTTCTGTGGTTCAACAATAAATGTGAGAACTTACAATGCTGAAGTCCGGGGTTCGACTCCACGTGGTAGACAGGGCACAGGTAGCCCTTTGTGTAGCCTTGCGTTTTAGATGGTTAGTGGTATTGTGTTAGTAGTAGAAGGTTTTGTGATTTAACATCCATATTTGTTTCTAGTTTCGTTTTACCCGTGAAGCTTGCAATGTCTGTTAACTCTCATAGTCAGTGTATCCCCACTCTGTGAAATCTACTTCAGCAGATGTATCTGTTACTAGGATACATTATACCGTTCCCACACTGTAGTTTATCTCTAGTTCTATTATTTAGTTATACGTTTGCGATGCCATTTGTTTTTTAAAACATTGCGACAAGTGGGGGACCATTTTACAAAAACTACCTTTTAAATGATAATTTTAACTTAACTGTAAAGTTTTGTTTATAATACGAGCTTTATTATATCTATTTACACATAATAACAAGCGCTGGAGTTTTTCTAACATAGCATCTGATCATTATGTCACCTTCTTAAATTCTGGACTACATAACCTACCATTTCATCAATATAACAGCCCCTCAAGTACTGGGCTAAATAATAAGTTATTTATTCACTATGGCACCTTATCAAATATTGGACTACATAACTGTTCATCTTGTTGTATCCTATGTTGTACCCCCGTCCCTTTTTTTCTCTCTTTAAACAGTCGGAAGTTACTAGCAGCTAGGAAGAAAAACACAGCTACTTCTTACTTCTGGTTCAGGAAGTTGTTTGGGTTTTTCCGGCTTTCCATGTGACGATTGTTATGGTGAGACAAAAGTTGAAGAGTGTGAAGATATACATTCACACACACACACACACGCACGCACATGTATACACACGCATACGCGCACGCACACATACATATACACACGTATACACGCACGCACGCACACATACATATACACACGTATATACGCACGCACGCACACATACATATACACACGCATACGCGCACGCACACATACATATACACACGTATACACGCACGCACGCACGCACACATACATACATACATACATATACACACGTATACACGCACGCACGCACACACACATATACACACGTATACATGCACGCACACACACACACATACACACGTATACACGCACGCACGCACACACATACACACGTATACACGCACGCACACACACACACATTTTTTTTTACGCGAAAAATTCCAGTTACACCTTTTACCCACGAGCAGGACAAAGAAAGATTTCCCAATTTCTATGTACCCTTGATTTTCATACTTAAACGCCTAGCATGATTAAAAGAAATGAACTTGGCTGGCTTGTAATTATGGCCGCCACTGTAAAACTAGATAGACAGCCTCAATCCCAGTTTTATAATGAAAAGGTATAATAGTGTGGGTGAGTAAAATAAAAATGAATTTACCATACATATTTAATGCTTTTATACTTACCATCAATAGGAAAAAAACTGGTACTAGAGGGAAGGCACACGGGCGAATGGGGTTTGAGTTTTCCACTCTCGCACAGTAAGAGGTTGGTGATCCCCTTGACATAGCCATAGTTACAATCATACTCCACAACTGACCCATGGGAAACATTTAGACCTGCTCTATATCCAATCATGTAGTATCCATTTGCCACTTCCGGTAACTCACACGGAGCTAGTAGTGTTTAAGATAATATTTTTTAAATAGAATATTATATTTACTAATCTCAAAACTTCGCATTTTTATGATATTATGACTACCAAAAAAAAAAACAAAAATCCCTCTAACGACAGCGATAAGCAATATAAAATAAAAACACGAGTGGTGACAGAAATACAAAAAACTTAAATGTTCCTTGTTCATAGATTTAATGAGGTAACGTTGGTAACAAATGTATACGATTCCTGTTTATACATTTAACAAAACAACCAGAAAAATCCGAGCTTTGTATACATATATTTTCGTCTACAATACTTTTTCTGGCATTAACTAACGTATCACGGTTGTTCTTCCATTCAAGAAAATCTGTATTGATTAAGTGTTTTAATGTTTAAACAAATATATGTAATTCCTTCATACCTTAAATACATTATCATATAAATGATTCGGAGAAAATAACCAACAGCTTAAGAACTACCCAGTATTCGTATTTGGTAGAACAATAGTGACTTTACGATAACGGATCACGTACTACTGAAGGCTGTTCTTAATTCTATGGGTAGATACTTGTATAAAAGCAAAAAACATGCCTTATTACTGCGAAAACTAACAGTTTACCAATGACCTATCAGAAACGACGATATATTGTTCCTTTCACCTAAAAAACAAAAGGTGACTCCATCATCACGGTCAATTAACGATCTTTGTTGGAGTTACACTACACGAAACAATGATCTGTTTCTAGAGTAATAGTTTTAAAGCACATGAAAACAATGATCTGTTAGAGTAATGACTGTAAAGCTGGTGAAAACAACGGTCAGTTCCTTACAGTAATAGCTGTAAAGCACATGAAAACAATGACCTGTTATTAAAGTAATAACTGTAAAGCTAGTGAAAACAACGGTCAGTTCCTTAGAGTAATAGCTGTAATGCTGGTGAAAACAATGGTCAGTTCTTTAAAGTAATAGCTGTAAAGCTAAATAAAAATAGTGGTTTGTGCGTTAGAGTAATAGCTTTAAAGCTGGTGAAAACAGTGGTCAGTTCCTTAGAGTAATAGCAGTAATGCTGGTGAAAACAATGGTCAGTTCTTTAAAGTAATAGCTGTAAAGCTAAATAAAAACAGTGGTTTGTTCGTTAGAGTAATAGCTGTAAAGCTGGTGAAAACAACGGTCAGTTCCTTACAGTAATAGCTGTAAAGCTAATAAAAACAGTGGTTTCTTCCTTACAGTAATAGCTGTAAAGTTGTTGAAAATAGTGGATTCCTAGGCCTTTATTGATTAGTTTGATTACATTGCTGTTTTATGCTATAAACTCAAAATACAATTCATACTGACAGACCTGGAGGTCAGTTAGTTCGTAACCCCAAGTTAATGCAACATTTAGTTCGTCACCCCAAGTTAATGCAACATTTAGTTCGTCACCCCAAGTTAATGTAACATTTAGTTAGTCACCCCAAGTTAATGTAACATTTAGTTAGTCACCCCAATTTAATGTAACATTTAGTTAGTCACCCCAAGTTAATGTAACATTTAGTTAGTCACCCCAAGTTAATGTAACATTTAGTTAGTCACCCCAAGTTAATGTAACATTTAGTTAGTCACCCCAAGTTAATGCAAGATTTAGTTCGTCACCCCAAGTTAATGCAAGATTTAGTTCGTCACCCCAAGTTAATGCAAGATTTAGTTCGTCACCCTAAGTTAATGTAACATTTAGTTCGTCACCCTAAGTTAATGTAACATTTAGTTCGTCACCCTAAGTTTATGTAACATTTAGTTCGTCACTCTAAGTTTAATGCAAGATTTAGTTCGTTTTCAATTTCAGCTCAAAATAATAAATGTTTATCTACCGTAAATTCGAGACGTTAAAATGATGATAGTAAGATAGGTAGATGAACAGAAGAAGTAAAATCTGATTTATTATATTACAAGTTCTGCAACCTAATACGTCATTATCTACATTTCCAAGTGATCGCCAACACTTTATACTCATCATATTATACATTGTATAATTAGATAATGCTACAGTGTATCAAACCACTCTTTTTGTTCAGCATGCTGCTTATAGTAATGATAGAGAAAATAATGGAATATTGGTGCTCCTGTTAAATTAAAGTTGACTTAATCTAAAATACAGTTATGTCAACGTGAATGGACTGAACATTTATACATTAATTAGTCCACTAATTACCCATGTTTCGAGGAAAGCTGCTTAAATTAGGCTACAAAATAAGACATTGTATTATATTTTGATTAAAACTTTTACAAAAAAATAATTTTATAATGAAATTTGAATGGAATTAAACATTTAGAATAATTAGTCGAAATCATTACGCCGGTTGCGTTGTCTGACGAAACGTTTACCGAGCTAGTGTAGCTTTTAATTAGGAATGACATTAAGAAATATTTAGAGGAAATAGTTATATCTGCACATACTCAGGATGAATCAAAAGACAAAATCAATTATCCACCTCTCCAACAGCCAAGAATCTGGGATCACTATTAAATATACTCACTTTAACAATCGAATCAAGGGACATAATTATTCACCTCTCTAGTAATCGAATCTAAGATCACTATTAAATATACTCACTTTAACAATCGAATCAAGGGACATAGTTAATTATTCACCTTTTGAGTAATCGAATCTAAGATCACTATTAAATATACTCAAGGGACATAATTAACTATTCACCTCTTGAGTAATCGAATCTAAGATCACTATTAAGTATACTCACTTTAACAATCGAATCAAGGGACATAATTAATTATTCACCTCTTGAGTAATCAAATCTAAGATCACTATTAAATATACTCACTTTAACAATCGAATCAAGGGACATAATTAATTATTCACCTCTCTAGTAATCGAATCTAAGATCACTATTAAATATACTCAAGGGACATAACTAATTAATCACCTCTTGAGTAATCGAATCTAAGATCACTATTAAATATACTCACTTTAACAATCGAATCAAGGGACATAATTAATTATTCACCTTTTGAGTAATCGAATCTAAGATCACTATTAAATATACTCAAGGGACATAATTAATTATTCACCTCTTGAGTAATCAAATCTAAGATCACTATTAAATATACTCAAGGGACATAATTAATTATTTACCTCTTGAGTAATCAAATCTAAGATCACTATTAAATATACTCACTTTAACAATCGAATCAAGAGACATAATTAATTATTCACCTCTTGAGTAATCGAATCTAAGATCACTATTAAATATACTCAAGGGACATAATTAATTAATCACCTCTTGAGTAATCGAATCTAAGATCACTATTAAGTATACTCACTTTAACAATCGAATCAAGGGACATAATTAATTATTCACCTCTTGAGTAATCAAATCTAAGATCACTATTAAATATACTCACTTTAACAATCGAATCAAGGGACATAATTAATTATTCACCTCTCTGGTAATCGAATCTAAGATCACTATTAAATATACTCGAATCAAGGGACATAATTAATTATTCACCTCTTGAGTAATCGAATCTAAGATCACTATTAAATATACTCACTTTAACAATCAAATCAAGGAACGCAATTAATTATCTACCCCTCTAACAACCGAAAAAAGGGCCATAATTAATTATTCATGACCCCAACAAACGAATTAACGGCCACTGAAACAGACAATCAAAAGGATCGTAACAAGGATAATTTTAGCATTGGTAAGAAATACATGTAGAAAGTATTGAGGGACATAAGGTATTAGGAAAACACACTAAACACAAATAAGTTGTGAAACACAATGTATACATAGTAAGACTTACGTACACGCCACACACTGTGGCTCTTTCGGCTTCCAACGACCTCTAACGCATTTAATAAAAGTCTTATGTAGATTCAAATGATACCCATTTGTACAAGTCACGTGATATTTGGTCCCATGTGGCACAGTTCTACTCCATTTTCTTGGTCGTAGACGTTTCATCTTCATCCAGGGACTGGGATGTAGGAATGGACACGGATCTGTGGTGGAAATATTGAAAGTAAAGATGTAAAAATGTTACATCGATGGAAATTTAAACAACTGAAAAATGTACTCATTGGTTATTCGAAAAACAATTAGCAACCTGAAAGTTAAATACATGTATATAGTAATCCTAGTCTTGGATTAATTCAAGTAAACTAGAAATTGTAACAAACATTGCAAAACATTTTCCTCAGTTAATGTATAGAAGGTAGAACAAAACCAACTTTTCTCACACACACACACAGACAAAAAATGGGCAGTAAAACTAAAAAGCTGCGTATTCATAACAAGAAAGTTCAATAAAAAACAGACAGAATAATTTGTTTTGAATTAATTTAAAACACGCTGATCATTCATAATCTGAAAATGTAATATTTATGCTCAGAAAGTGTAGTAAAAAAATTCTGCAAAGCTAATCCCTAGATATTCTGAAGAAAGCACAAAAAAGAGCTATGGAAACATCATCTGTATAATGCGTTTCTTGTTAGGCCGGGCGTGGCCGAGAGTTCGTGCGCTCATATTGTAAGTCTGAAAATTCTTGGTTCGCAACCCCTTACTGCAAAAATCTCGATGCGCAGTTTAGGGCCTTGATGTGCTAAAAAATGAGTTGAGTTGCATTATTCGTTAACAATAGCCCAAAAGATGGCGATGAGTACTGTTGACAAGCTGCCTTCCCGTTAGCCTATCAATTCAAATTTAGGGGCTAATATCGCCAAATATAGTTTTTCCAGGAAGATCTACCAATGTTTTTGTTTCTCATGATCTTGTTCATTCTTTCTTTTGGCATGATAATCGCATTAAAACGTTCAACGTAAAATACAGCGGTAAGTCTATGGACTTACAACTCAAAAATTCGGAGTTCGATTCCTTGCGTTGGACACAACAGATAGCCCAATATGGTTTTTCTATAAAATGAACAGATAGAAAGACCGTATATTATATAAGAAAATGGAAGAAGTTAAGCCTTGTTAGCTTTAGAAGGAGAGAGGATGATGGCTCATAAAAACCTTTCATACATACAGAAAGTTTGGTTGTGGTTTGTTAATAATTTCGCGCAAAGCTACATGCCAGCTATCTGCGCTAACCGTCCCTAATTTAACAGTGTAAGACTAAATGGAAGGCAGCTAGTAATCACCACCCACCGCCAATTCTTGGGCTACTCTTTTACCAACGAATAGTGGGACCGACCGTCACATGATAACGCTCCCACGGCTGAAAGGTCGAGCATGTTTGTTGGGACGGGATACGAACCCGCGACCCTCAGATTGTGAGCCGAGCGCCCTAACCACCTGGCCATGTCGGGCCAGATGCCGAAAATAATCATTCATAACATATGAGGCTATGACAGTTTCATGCTAATTAGGCTTACACGTTTAATCCTGATGAGTGAGACGTACCTGCGTAATAAACGTAAAAACAACACGTTCTATTCAAGACATAACATACACCTGTTTCCTCTTCATTGAACTGCCCATAGATGATCGAAGAAGATTACATGGATGTAGAAAACACTTGGTGTAATCTCTGTATGCGAGAAAAATTCAGCATAATCGGTTTATCTTGGTTGTTCTAATACTAAACAGACACACTTATCTTGATAGAAAAACCCACAGTACAACGTGGTACTTTGGAATAATTTTCTGAACATGAAATGAGATACAGTATTATTTAGTACGGAACGATGTTGTGAGCATGAAAACAAAAGGGGGTGGGTCTGGCAATGCCTGGTGGTTAGGGCGCTCGACTCGGAATCTATAGGTCGCGGGTTCGAATTCTTGTCACCGAACATGCTCGCCCTTTCAGCTGTGGGGGCGTTATAAAGTGAGGGCCAATCCCACTATTCGTTGGTCAAAGTAGCCCAAGAGTTGGCGGTGGGTGGTGACGACTAGCTGCCTTCCCTATATTCTATCACTGCTATATTAAGGATGGCTAGCGCAGATAGTCCTCGTGTAGCTTTGCGTGAAATTTAAAGAAAACAAACCAGTGAAAGAAAGATTAAAACGTATTATTTAATATGGATACAAAACGTTCATATGAGACCATTTTATGAGCATGAGAAAATGTACGGTACTATTTAATATTGGACTGATATTATGTACATTAAAGGTTAGCCTAATGCAAAGAACTATAAAGTGTTATTTTATGTGACACGACGTAGTGATAATGAACGAATTAGGAAATATTATCTAGTATGGGACGATGTCATCAATATGAAAATAATTAGAAATTATCATTTAATAGACATTTTTACTTTAATGACAATTTTAGAGTTCATAAAATCTATTGTCATACATTCATATCTACGTCATAAAATCTATTGCCATACATTCATATCTACGTCATAAAATCTATTTTCATACATTCATATCTACGTCATAAAATCTATTGTCATACATTCATGTCTACGTCATAAAATCTATTGTCATACCTTCATGTCTACGTCATAAAATCTATTGTCATACCTTCATGTCTACGTCATAAAATCTATTTTCATACCTTCATATCTACGTCATAAAATCTATTTTCATACATTCATATCTACGTCATAAAATCTATTGCCATACATTCATGTCAACGTCATAAAATCTATTTTCATACATTCATATCTACGTTATAAAATCTATTGCCATACATTCATGTCAACGTCATAAAATCTATTGTCATACATTCATATCTACGTTATAAAATCTATTGCCATACATTCATGTCAACGTCATAAAATCTATTGTCATA